GTGGAATATTTTCTTCCAACAAAAAAGAACCAACAAAATCGGTTCACAAATGCCAAAGTTATCGCGTAACATACATACAAAAAAATACAGTCGAATTAAAAACCTCCTCTTTTTTAAAAGTCGGTTAAACAAACTAGACAAACTCGCAACGCGTGTGATTGTAGCCAAGCGTTCATAATTTTTCATAAAAAACTTTGATGACATAAGGACGAAGTGGTTCCAGTCTTTCTAGTAGACCGAAGAAGGAACAGAAAGTAAATAGTAAAGGTCCTGGTAAAAAAGGCCAACGCTATTTGCATTAATCTAATTGTTCTTTAACATAATCTATATAGCGACAAGTTGACAACGTGACAGTATGACATAAACACTAGGTTACTTGACAGGTAGTAACGCAGCCCTTCTCTCGATCTAGCCTTCACGTGTTCTAGATCATGCGTGCTGACAAAAAGTATAGGAATGTCGTTCACCGCGCAACTTATGATTAGAAGGTGGATTTTATTCAAAACATTTTAGTTGACAATTACTATAGTATATAGGAAAAGAAACTATTTGTTTGGGATCTGAATGGTGTGTATTTGTTTTTCAAATAAACCAATATTTAAGGCCCTTTACAGGTCCCATGGTCACGGCGATTGACATCGTAAAATATCAACCAGTTATATCGAATATTAATGCAAACCACCCTATTTCTCACTATAGTTACAAAAGTTAGTAAATAAATGCCTTATTTTTAAATTTTCCAAACAACATTCCAATTTACGCTACATTTGATTTACAAATTATTTAATTTAACTTTATTATTAATTAATAAAATTGATATAAATGACAACATATTCATTTTAGTGATTACTTTATCACATACTTTATATCTAAGGTTGATAACTTTATCATCTCACTCAGCCGTGACCATGGGATCTGTAATGGGCCTGAAACAAAAATAAATATATACAATTTAGATCAAAAGAAATCTTTTCATTTCCTATGTGTAACAATCGGGAAAACCTGAGAATTATGAAATGTTTTCATTTGCATAAGATATGGTTAAATAAAAGTTTAAAAAGCAGTTACTAATAAACGCATTATCTAACCGAACGTCGGCATGAAAAAATTCAGACTTACATTTAAGCTTAATATTAATTATTTATTAAGAAATAGGTAAACGAAAAAAAAATCTATGCTGCTAATGGTGTAACAAAAACCATTTATAACCAACTTTTCGATTCGACTGTATCTTTTTTGTGTGTATGTTATAGTGAATACTCGGGACTTTGTGAACCGCTTTTGATGATTCTTTTATTGTTGGAAAGAGTTTACTTCAGTATTGATTCCAATTAAATTTGAAAAAAATATTCCACCTCAAAGGGTGGCAAACTAGCGGATGAATCCGGTTTCGAGCACTTTCCGGTAAGCGATTGTTAACTTTTTAGTTTTATTTTGTATGTGCATATTAGCAAAGTTTGAAGTTATTCGCTTTTTTTTTTTAAAAAATTATAGTTATGGTTTGACCGTACACCGGCAATTCACCATATAAGCAAATAAATGATAAGTTACAAACGAAAGAAACAAAATAATAATAATAATAAAGAATACAAACAAAAAAAAATATTTATAACACTATCGTGACTCATTATTCATACAGTGTTATAAATTTATTCAAAAAATTCTTTAACGCCGTAAAAACAATTTTCTAATAACCATTTCTCTAGTTTTCTACACATTTGATTTTTTAGGCAATGCTTTTAAATTATGTTGTGTTAATACGTAACATTAGAGAACATGACATACGTTGCCCTGATCCCAAAGTCGCCAAAGCACTTGTGTTATGGAAATCGAAAACAACGACGGTACCACAAAGACCCGGACCTGAGACAATATAGAAAAGTAAATTTTCTACACTCACCCGAGATGTCGACACCATGAAAACCAGCATGCAATGTAGTCGAAAACGGATGCCGTCAAAATATAATGCGCTTACAAAAATTGCCACCAAAATTAGGCACTTGGGTGAGAAGAATCTGTGGTAGTAACCCGTTTATCTCTTGCAAGTAGTCTCAATCAAAGATGTTTGAAATATTGTTAATGTTAAATGTATTCAAATGTATATTTAAAGGAGTTTCTTGCTCATTCTTCTCAGGGGACTCCGCCTTACGAATATGCAGTAGAGTTTAATTAATAAGACGATTTTAATTGGCTCAGTTACGGCATCATTCTGTGGGGTAACAGCACGGATGCAGCCTCTCTATTCACCCTTCAAAAGAAGTTAATTAGAATAATAACCAATATTGACCAGACTGATAGCTGTAGACCATATTTTCTTAAATATAAAATATTAACTTTGTCCAGTTTATATATTTTGGAAATAAGTAAATTTGTCAGGAAAAATCATTGACTTACAAATAAATGGACGACGACGGGTCTAATACAAAAACCACGAAAAAAATGTCCCAAGTCAACCTATTTAAACGTAGTGACATGTAAAGGAATATGAAAAAGCTAAAACGTTGAATTTAAATTGTAATGTCATCGCAGTACTGTCTAATTTTGCTTGCTTCGCTGTCAGTCGAACAAACAAAGACTAAAGCGTGAATGACGCTCTGTATACGATTTTAACGCCCTATAAATTCGGACACTTTTTAGCGCGGACCCGACGTCCATATAATTGCAAGTCAATGGGAAAAATAAACAATTTTATAAAAAACGAGAAGATATCCCATGTAAGTACTCTTTACGACTTAAAAATAAATTAGTATTGCCGACTTCACGATTAAAAATTAACTCCTCTAGTACCTACAGTTCTTCTATTAAAATTTATATATATATACATAATAAACTACCTAAAAATATAAAAAATGAAAACAATGACAACATTTTCATAAAAAAATTAAAACTATTTCTATCCGAAAAATGTTATTACATTATTAACGAATATTTAATAGATAATACATTCAGAGGCCACGCAAAATGATGATAAATATAAAGGTTGTTTTTAAATTAAATTTTATAACAATATAATATAGTATATAGTACCTATGATAAATACCAATAGAATACTTACTATATATAAAATACTACTATAAAATTGCGGTTCCTCTCTCCTAGCTCCTATGTTGCGTGCCCGACAGGGCCCGTAATACTGATCTCACTACATTTGTAACATCTTATTATGTACATTATGGTTTTGCAATACATTATTGAATTGAATTGATTTCAAGTGTAATTTGCTTACCTATGAAATAAAGATTTTTTTATAATATCAAACGACGGGACAAACAAGTCGTGCGCCTGATAGTATGCTAAACGCCTGTCCATAAAGCCAATGTCCATAAAGCAGTGCCACTCAGCTCTTTAGATCGCAAAGTTCTGAGGCGCACTGCCATGTGCCTGTAATTTCACCAGCACCCTTATCCTTCAAAATCGGAATACAGTAATGCTAACATTACTGCTTGGCGTCAGAAATAGATAAGGTGGCAGTACTTCCATTGACGACCTCTTTCACAACGAACTCTACTGCTGCTACTACGACGATTCGAGGTTTGAAGAATACTACTCAATTACCGTTTACTAACGAATGAGCTTCCGATGCTAATGTGAATTTTACGTAAAGCAAATCAGAAGATATTTTTAAAATTCTAAATGCATAAATGATTATTTAATTATACCTATTTATAATCGTTTAGTTAGAAATAAGATTCTATAAAAAAAAGCACCAGTATCATAATGATTAATTAAACAGTCATTTGCATCAACATCATCAACCCATTTATATATCCCACTGCTGTGCACAGGCGTCTAACTCTAAATAGTGACATACATAATTAACTGCCTCCGTGACCGAACGGTTACCACGCCTGACTGCCACGCAGAGGTCCCAGGTTCGATTCCCGAGCCGGGAGAAATATTTGTATGGCCTACATTTATTTCTCTCGTGAGTTTGGGTGTAATTTGTGGTTGTCTATTAATACGAGGCATAAAAATAAACTAGCTGTTCTCGACAGTCGTCTTCATAAAGTCTCAAATTCATTTAAGAGGCAATGTATACATTCTATAGTAAGATTCCGATTGATATTCAAAATATTGCCATTTACGAGTTTTAAAACTATAGTGAAACAAAAACTTTATACTAAAGGTACAGCTTCTGCGTACTTGGATGAGAAAAATCCGTGGTAGTGACCCGTTTAGCTCTTGCAGGTAGTCTCGATCTAAAAAGACGTTTGAAATAAATATTGTTAATGTTAAATGTATTCAAATGTATATTGAAAAGAGTTTCTTGCCCATTCGTCTCAGGGGAATCTGCCTTACGAATGAGCAGTAGAGTTTAATCAGTATAAAGATTTCATGTGTAATTTATTTATCTATGAAATAAAGATAATATTACTTTAAGTTTGACTTTTCTCTCAGGCGAGGGTTTATATTTACTCGCTACGCTGGTCCAATGCGGGTTGGCGACTTCGGCTACCACGGTTTTTTCAAACAGAATCAGTATAACGTTCCAAAAGAAGTAACGAACTTAATTAACTATTGTTCCACATGTAAGAAAACAGTCGGGAAAATCGTAAATACAATAAGAACAGCATCTGGGTCCTCCCTGCAATGTTCATTGTTTTATTCCGACTTTTAATTTGAAGCGTGCTGGGACGCGAAGCATGAAAAACGGCCTCTTACAAACAACGCAGTGTACCAACACAGGAAACAGACATTATGAAAACGTCAAAATACAGGAATACGACTTGCATCTTACTGCAATAACAGGGCCTTTTTTTGGAAACTCTTTTGCCTAATGGGGATAACTCTGATGTGGAACGAGATCTTGTAGTTGGGAAAAGGTAAAAAAAATAATTACGGAAATCGAAATTAACGTAAGTTACATCGCTCAAGTTGCGTTACGTAAAACTTTTTGCTTAATTTCAGTCGCATACACCGTAAGGTCGTAGAAAGTGAATCGGCTCGTGTGAACCGTCAAAAAAACGCTCTGTGTTGCCAGTCTGTAGCGCGCGCTCCGCGCTAGTCGTCGTTTCCCGCCTAAACGAAGAAAATTGGAACATCGAACGCGAAATTTTTTTTTTTTAACTTTTTTTCACGTGCGTCTCGCCGGCCAGTGTATCTATACCTGGAGGTCCTTTATAGTGCATTGAATTCTTCTGTGATTTTGTGAATTATGTGAAAAACATTTCGTGTTTAAAAAATAAACTTGTAAAACATATTTTATAACTTGAATGTGGTATTGAAATTTGTACAATGGGGAATTTTGACAGGAGGAAATTTATGGATTCATTTTTGAAAATGGTGAGTACGTTATTTAAGTTACTTAGAATATTTGTGGAAGATTAATTTACATATTTATGAAATTCTTCTATAGTTGTTTTCCTTGTTCTTTTTACAGGTAAGTATGTACATTGAACAGTTTAAATACGGAAAACTATTTTTTATAACGCAATACATTATTAATTTAATGTGCTGCCAAACATTTCGTAACAGGCGATTATAAAGCTATTACCATACTAGTTATTAGGTAACACTTGGGCATCGCATTTTCTCAAGGGTGACGAAAGCATATCCATGGTTTTATAACTGGCCAGTTATAATTAAATCGAATACACATTCGAATATAATATTAATTTAATCGAGTTACTTACCGAGAGCGATCGTAAAGGAAATTTCTCCCGCTGATTTCTCTGTTTGGTTATGCGTAGATAGAATAGATGATTATGTATGTAATTTCTGTTTTAAGGGGACTTTAGACACGCTTTTTTGTAAGCTACTGTTATGAATATTAATAAAGTAAACCGAAATCAAATTTCCTAGGTATACTACATAACTACATGAGGTGGTCTCAACTTTATTGTCTATCTTTTTTATACTTCTATCTGTTTTCTTCTTTCTTCTATCCTTAACTGTTTGTACCACCTTATGTGATTTAATGTTGTTTAAACAGTCGTAACCATGAGAATTTCAATCTCATCTAAGCTTCTACTGAAGAATGTAGAAGACCATCCCATATTCATCCGGACACAAGCAGAAGAGTCTTCTTTCGTTGTAACTCCTAGCAAGACCCTTGCTTGCTTAGAACCATATTATTGTATTGTAGTCATTGCAAGTTCAGGAAGCTCTATACAATAATGTTCGATCTTATATTTGGATATTTTTAGTTTTTATTTTTTATAAAATACAAGTGCGCATTTGACCTCCATCTCACCTGATGGAAAGTGACGGGGCGAACAAGTCCTGTAAGTTATACGCCTGTCCAAAGTAGGTGCAGTGTCACTACGCACTGCCACTGCACCCGTCACCCTGAGACGTAAGTCGACAAGACCCGCGCGTCTGTAATTTCACAAATATTTTTACCTTTCAAAACAGAAACGCAATAATGCTTTTGCTTGGCGGCAGAAATAGGTGGTGATACTTCCTTGAACGCACTCTTTCATAAGGTGTTTTAAGGCTATTAAATAAATAATAATACTTAATGGCATTAATTAAGTACAATGCGTAAAAAAATAAACCAATATTGAGAATCGTGATTTGACAGTTTCCCGTTAAATTATATAATGGTTACAAATTCACAAGAAACCAAATACATATTCTAATACTTAGAACACTTTCATAGTTCTTTTCATAGACTTAAAAAATACCATAAACGTTAAGAAAAATAATGGATTCGTCTCATTTAAAAGGTAAATTTACCATGTTGGTTGAATGAATATTAAACTAAGCCTAAATTAAGCCCGTCAGGCGTTTCATTCGCCGATGGGCTCCTGCGACACTAAGCTTAATTTACAAAGAAATTTAGAAACTTCGATTTCAAGCCAAGAAAAGACAAAAAATGTACCACAAATATATGCACTGGAATTTCAAAATTGCAACCGTAAAGATGTAACGATTTCCCGCCAAAAATTACAGAAAATTTAACAACTGAAGACACAATACGATCTAAAATTTGGCAGTATGGCCAATTGTGCCTACTATGCAATAAGTGACTCCTGAATTTAAATTTATTATAAAACCCTTGAAACTTTTAGTACTTCAATTGTCCTAATGAAATTTAGTATTCAACACTGTAATAAAGTCATAACTATCTTTATGTGTTATATTGTCACCATTATTGTTCTTTGACATAAAAATTATATTTATTTATAACAACATTCATCTTTATAAAGTTCGGACTGTCTTGAAACGAGTCTTTGAAATAAAAAATAAATTATTGTCATTTGCATACGGTTTAAAGAACAGAGAAGTGTTAATAATTTTTAATCGTGCCTCGTTCTAAATTACTGAAATAAAAATTGAACATATAATACAGTAAAAAAAATTGTTAATAAAATAATCATAATTTGATAATAAAACATACGTACATGCAATTTAGGTCTATAACTGAGCTACAGAAGGCTATGGATTATAAAGAATTCGGTAATATTCTGCCATAGCCTATAATGGTTAAGTATAATGGTTATATATACGAGTAGAAACACGCGCAAACCAGAGCAAAAACGAAAATTAAAATATAATAAAAAATATAAAATTCTTAAGAACAACTTTACACATCAGGTAGGTACGAAATATGAGAAACCATCCCACTACGCATTTAGTTGCAAGGTATTAACAAAATTGTACATTGTATTTAATAGAACTTACTATAGAGAACCAACAGCTATTGCTAATTTTATAAATTTGTCTAAAATTTTATTAGTTATTTATAATATTCTTTTTGCAGTGGAACAAAAATGCGCCGTAAAGTGGGAAATATGGAAATAAAACTAATTTTAAAAGGTTAAGAAAAATGGCGTGTTTTGTTGTAAAATTTTTAAATTAATTAAAGTTCGGTATAAGAATATTATGTTTTAAATTTCTTATTTATTTCTTACTCTTTTAAGCTGATGCTCTGTAGCCAATGCTCAATAAATAAATAAAAAAATACTCGTTCCAAATTTAAATAATTTATTTTTGGCGGTTTTTTTTTAAATATATTTTGTTAGCATATTGCTATTTATTATTTGTAAGTAACATAGTGTAGTTGATTTAATAAACTATATTAGTACACTTTAGTTAATCTTGCTTAGTCATCGGTAGCTAATGACATTGATACAGGCAGCTACACCGTCACTGAAATAAATTTCTTTCCGTAGCATTATAAATTAGAAACATAGCTTATACTTTACAACAAGTACAATGGTCGATACATTATAAAGTCAAGCACAACGTTTTAACAAGCTATATTTTGTAGCAGTGGTAGTTGTGGTAGCGGGTGTCCTTGGGACTACGCCAGCGTACATTCCCCGGCGCGATTCCGCCTCAGCGATCGTCGCTATATTGCTATGCGATGTTTGAGTGTTATTATGTACACTCGGCTGCAGGTTAAATATTGTAATATGTCACTTTTAAGAACCGCAACCGCAAATTTGAATGCTACTATTTTCTTCAAAGTATTTTCACAAATTGTGTCCTAAAGTGTGGCCCATTAGTACTTTATAATTTTTTATACCAGTACAACAAAATGTATTATCGTTTTCTGAAGAGAATTTACAATTAGAAACTCTAGAAAAATTTGTCATCGAAAATGTCTTTCTTATATTTTATAAAAGCACTGAGAATAAGAATGAACAACATTAGGAATTTAAAGACGAGCAAACATTGTAAGGTTCTAAAGTTAGCTTTGATATTTAGTTTACAAACTAAGTTAAATTATATTCTTATAACGTGTGTCCAAAAAAATATAATTATAAAATATTTTAAAATAAACAAAAAAAACTATTTCATTACAAAAGCTGACTTCAAAATTATGAAAGTCCGTTTTCATTGGAATTACATCTATGTGCCAAGTTTTATCGAAATCAGTTAACGTTGTTAACTGTAATTATTAAAATTAAAATAAGTTTAAAAAGTTGGTGGAATTCAATAAAACGGATTCATCCCCTAATTTGCCACCCTTAGAGGTCGAATATTTTATTTAAATTTGAATGGAATCACCATGAAATTATACTCTTTACAACAAAAAATATCGTCGAAATTGGTTTGTAACACACAAAAGACGAATTGAAAACTTTTTTTTTAAATCGATTAAAAAAATATCACATGTATTCTGTTTTTAAAACAAAAAAACACAAACACTCGTAATAGTAATCTGTGACATTTGAATTAAAGTGAGAGTACTCTAGTGTACACTACTATTTGTTCTTGTACCAGCTTACAACAAAACAAACTTACCTTTTCAACTGCAAAAATTCAACACTTTACTTAAGTTGGGAAATGCAGAAATACGTGGACGGCAATGATAATTTGATGGTTAGTTCACAATGCTATTCAATCAAGCCTCAAGTACAGAAGATTTATATCATGTAGAGCAGGTCCCTTTGTGCTATTGTCGTATGAAAAGCTTTTGAGATTTTTGTCATATACGAGGACATTTTCCTTGTTTGGAGGCAATGTATTGTTATTTACTGGTTTGCGATTATTTTCAAAGCAGCAACAAAACAACAAATCTGCTCACACACAATGGCAATTCAAATTTAAAATAGCATGCCAAATAAAACAAAAAACCAAGAAAAATTATCGACATTTATGCTCATCTAAAAAAGTACCCTATCAAGAACGCATTTTCTAAACTAAACGAAAAGTGTCATTTTCTTTTTTTTTTATACAAATGTAAGAGTGTATTTGACCTCCATGTGTGTTCCTAGTCCTTAAAGAGATAAGCGCTTTAAATAACAAATAAATGTTATTTAATTACGAATATGTTATAAGAAAGTAGGAATAATAATTATATAATTTGTAGTGCTCTCCTGATTTGCGGCGACCTTGCAGAGTGTCACATGTGTGACTACTGCATTATATAATTATATAATTATTTTATAACATCTTTTCTGAAACCATGTGGCAAGCAATAAAGATACGAATATATGTATTATATAAAGGTCTCGTAGTAGCGTAATCGCTTCATACAAACGACATCAACGAACGCCGGCGTTCTTTTTTATGGTGTGACTTTTTAATATTTTCCTTTTTTAAAGAAATAACTGACAAAAATAAAATAAGCTTAGGATAAAAAACGACATACATACAGATTATTATTTAAACATTAAAAAAGTTCTACACGCTCTTGACATATTATAATAAGTGTGGTAATTCTATACAAACGTAGCAGCGCGGCTTGTATGTGTGCACGCCCGCCGCGCGCCGTGTGCTGACGCACACATTCGCATAATCTCGCGGTGCACTCACGTAGCATAGCATGTGCCATTAATTGCTAAATTCAAGCAGTCGCTTTGTGTTCAAAAAAAAACATCACATAGTAG